CAGCACTCGCACGGTCGACCCTGCGAGTGCGGTCGAGGCGAGCACGTCGTCCGGCGCCGCGGATGGCTTCGGCACCTTCCCGCGCGTCTCGCGCAGCTCGTCGGTGACCGAGCCGCACCACTCTAGTCCCGGCGCTCGCCGCGCGCGCCTCGAGAGCGTCCCTGATTCGGTGCGCGACTCGATCCTGGACGCCATCGAGGACGACGACGTTGATGCAGGCGATGCTCCGGCGTCGAGGTCCAGCCGCCGTTTGACGATGCAGCCTCGATCCGCCGCACCGCGGGAGCGAAGCGCAATCGCAACGACGCAGGGCATGAGAGTGAGCCTCTACTCGTTTCTCGAAGAGGGTCCGGACAGGGCGCACGGTTCCGTCGACCAGAGCCGCGTAGCGTCGACTCCGGCCAACTCGATGCCCCACGACGCTGCGGCGCGAGGCCTGCGCGAGGACCGCGTGTGGCTCAGTGACCTCGCCGTGTGAGGACCCGTTACTCGCTCGCTCCCGGGTCATGTCCACCCCATCTTCATACCCCATCTATCCACCGCCTGCCCTTCTTCCTTATCCCAACTGTATACCATCCAGTCAAGATCCTCGGGTCCAATGTGCGCCTCGAGCGCGGTCCCATCGCTCGCTGTCGATACCGCTGTCCCCCGCCGAAATAGCAAACCACACTCATTGACGCACCCGAAGTCGGCCGATCTCTGCGTGCCGCCACTCACCTAGACACTCCTCGGACGGACGGCCGTAAGTCGAGCGTGGTGCTGCGGTGAAGGCTGGGTCAGGCGGGCAGGGATGCAGGTGTACGGCGTGGATGCGGTGGGTGCCTCTATGACTGGATAACGTCTATAGCACACGGCCTGTCGCATCGCCTGGTGCAACTTCGTACGGCCGAGGCTCACGCCTGCTCTCTTGAGAGGTAGTACTCTGCGGGTGGGAGCGGAGTGCGAAGATGGATGGAGGTCAGCAATGAACCGGCGGCGAGCACGAGCGGCGATGTTGGCCCCGTTCGCGACGCACCTTCTGCCTGGGCGATGCAGCGCATGTTGGCGCCGAGCTTGTTGATCGTCTCGATGTACTCGTCCTCTTCGATCGAGTCGTAGACGATTCCACCTCCTGTTGCGCGAGTGGAAGGGGACGTGGCGAAGGAACAGGGCCCGAGAGCGTCAGCGAGCTGCCCTGCGATGAGGAATCGAACCTGCACCTCGGACGGCCGACTCACCGGCCTGGAGGTAGGCGTTGCCGTCCTTGAAGGTCATGGTGCGGATGGCGATGCAGACGTCCATCTCCTTGTCGGCAAAGTCGATGCGTCCCACTGCGCCGGCGTAGACGCCGCGCTTCTCCTTTTCGAGCTCGCTGACGAGCTCAATGGCGCGAATCTTTGGCGCACCGCTGACGGTGCCGGCGGGGAAGATGGACCGCAGCGCATCGAAGCGCGACTTGTTGGGCCGCAGCAGCCCGGTGATGCGCGAGGTGAGGTGCATGACGTGCGAGAACTTCTCGACCTTCATAAACGACTCTACGGTCGTCGTCAGCGGGTCGCAGACGCGGTTGATGTCGTTGCGGGCCAGGTCGACGAGCATCACGTGCTCCGCCTGGTCCTTGATGGATCCCGTCAGCTGCGCCGCGAGCTCCTCGTCCTCTATCGAGCGGGCGAAGGGAATGCAAGGGGAGGGAAACGCGCTTGATCTGGTCAACAAGGCCTTTGCGCAGAATGTCCACCACCACCTTGTCCCTCTGTGCCGGCATGGCGACTGCGTGGCACCCACCTTCGTCCGACTTGCCCCGCTTGACGGTGCCGGCGATGGCGTGGACGGCCACCTTGCCCTTTTCGATCTTGCACAACGTCTCGGGGCTGGCGCCGACGAGCTGGCAGTCTCCGCAGTCGACGTAGAACATGTATGGCGACGGGTTGACCTGCCGGAGGTGCCGGTAGCAGTTGAAAGGATGGAGCGTGGTGCGCCTCTTGAGCCGCTGCGAGGGGACCGCCTGGATGATGTCGCCCTTGACAATGTTCTGCCGCAGGCTGGTGACGAAGCCCTCGTACCCGACCTTGCCGACGTTGGAGACGGCCTCCTGGCCGGGCAGGATGGGCGGCTGCACCGGCTGGAGCGTCTGTTCGGTCGAGAGCGTGGCGATGAGCGCCTTGATCTTTGCGCAAGCGGCGTCGTAGAGCGACGCGATCTCGGTAGAGCGGTTCGAGCCGCCCGAGGTGGGGGCCGGTGGCAGGTGGAGGTGCGAGACGCAGTGGATGGTGTTGTAGATGTGGTCGAAGATGACGATGGTGTCGCAGAACATAAAGACGCTCTCTGGGATCCCGAGGACGTCCTTGAGGTCGCGCTTGGTGCGCGGCTCAAAGTACTGGACGCAGTCGTAGCTGATGTAGCCGATGGCGCCGCCTTCCGGGCGTGCGGAGCAACGAGAGACGAGGAGCGGCCAGAAGGGTCAGCGGCACGAAGGAGACACGGAGTGCGATGATGCATCCTTGACCTACCAGTGAAGCTGGGAAGGCCGGCGACGGGGATGTACTTGTACTTTGCCAGCTCGTTTTCGATGCCGACCAGCGGATCGCCCTCGACGTCGAGGCCGGGCCCTGAGCGGAGGATCTTGAAGGGATCTGCGCCGATGAAGCTGTAGCGCGCGATCTTCTCTCCGCCCGTCACGCTCTCAAAGAGGAAGCTGCGCTTCGCCGAGTCGGCGCCGTTCGAGAGCTTGAGGTAGGCGGTGACGGGCGTGAGGAGGTCCGATGGCAGGCTGGCAAAGACTGGGATCGTGTTGCCGGCGGCCGCAGCGCCAGACAGCTGGGCTTCGACCTCGGGAAGCGACGGAGAAAACTTGGACTTCATGGCGGAGGCAGCGCCGACGGAGGGGAGAGGATCGATGAGAGAAGAGGTGAGTGAGTGCGGCCGCTTCGACCGAGGGCGAGGCAACCTTTGTACTTACGGCGTTCATTGCGGTGGTGGGTGAGGAGGGCACGGTGCGTCCGGAAACGTTGCCTAAGGTTGTGTGTTTGCTGGCAGGCTGGCGATGCAATGCAGCGGAATGCCTGGTACGTGGGGTGCTGACGAGGGGCGAGGAGGTGGGTCGAATGGTAGCGGTCGCGGCGAAGGAGGTGGCCGAGTGGGTAGGGTAGGGCAGGCGTCGGCGGTGTTGGTCGTCGAGCGGCAGACGCCAGGTGACTCGCTCTTCGGAGCATCGATTGCCGCACCGCACCGAAATATGGGATCAGCAATCCCAGCGCGGGGCGGAGGCGGCGGCGGCGGCCGCCTTTCTTCTCGCCAACACAAAAAGCAAGAAAGGCGGGCCGAAAGGGGCAGTCAAAGTCATGCACCGGCCGGGGTAATCATCCAATCGGGAAGTCATCGGGGGGTCAATCGTTCCAGATCGAGGCAGCAACCCTTGTCGCTTTGTCCTCCACTCGACCCGCGCCGCTCCGTCTCTCCCATCACCACCACCACCACCACCGCCATCGCTTGCAACGCCTTCCCGCTGCTGCGCATCTATCTCCGCACGTCCTCGTGCCCAGCACAACCCGCAATGGCGCCCGCCTTGAACCTCCCACCGCCCTCCAAAGGCAACGCGGCAGACGGCGACACCCTCTCGCCCTCGCCCGCACCCGCGGCCAAGCCCAAGTTCTCCTCCGGCGGCATCATCTACCCGCCCCCCGACATCCGCACCACCGTCGACAAGACCGCAGACTTTGTCGCCCGCGTCGGCCCCTCGTTCGAGGCAAAGATCAAGTCGGCAGAGAGCAACAACCCAAAGTTCAGCTTCCTCAACGATGATGACCCTTACCACGCCTACTACCAGCAGCGCATCCACGCCGCAAAGAGCGGCGAGGCGCAACCCACACCACCGCCCACAGGCAGCGGCCAGGCACCAGCATCTGCCCAGAATGGCGCACCAGATGCCGAATCGGCCGGCCAGCAGCAGTCCGAGCTAGACCAGGCGCCCGAGGAGCCGGATCCGTTCGAGTTCTCGGCCGATCTGCCCAACATCACTGCCATCGACCTTGACATCATCAAGCTCACCGCCCTCTTCACCGCCCGCAAGGGCCGGTCCTTTGCGTCGGCGCTGCAGGCGCGGGAGGCGCGCTCGTTCCAGTTTGAATTCCTTCGCCCCTCGCACTCGCTCTACGGCTACTTCAACCGCCTCGTCGAGCAGTACCAAAAAGTGATGCAGCCGCCCGCTGAGCTGCTCGAAAAAGTCAAGCTCGGAGCCTACGGCACCACTGACGACCACGCTAGGTCCTTGATCGGCATCGGCGCCGGGGGAGCCAGGCCGCGCCTGCTCGAGGAGGCCAAGAAGCGGGCTCAATTCGAGAAGTGGTCCCGCGAGAAGCGCAAAAAGGCAGACGAGTTGGAAAAGCAGCAGCAGGCCGCGTTCGACGAGATCGATTGGCAGGACTTTGTCGTCGTCGGCACCGTCGAGCTGACCGACGCCGACCAGCACGTCGACTTGCCGCCGCCGCGCTCGCTGCGCGAGGTTGAGAGCATGACGATGGCGCAGAAGCGCATGGCCGCCATGATCATGGAGACCGAAGGTGGAGCCGCGGGAGAGGAAGAGATCGAGGAGCTCGACATGCCGGGCAGCACATCCACGCGGCCTGCCGCCAGCACAAGCACTAGCGCCGCCGCCGCCACCACCGTCAAGAAGCAGGAGGAAGAGGACATGGAAATGGAGATGGACAACAGCGGCGACGAGGGTGCCGCCCCCCCTGCTGCCGCCTCTGCTGCCCCACAAACCGACGTCAAGCGTGCCGACGGTGCGGCGCCGATCAAGATCCGCAAGGACTACGTGCCGCGAGGCATCGTCGGACGCCAACAGGGCCCGCAGATGACCCAATGCCCCGTCTGCGGCGAGCAGATTGCCGTCGACGAGATGGCCGAGCATGTCCGCTTCGAGCTGCTCAACCCCAAGTACCGCGAGCAGCGTGCCGAGCTCGAGGCCAAAAAGGCGCAGCAGGCGGCACTGCAGGCGGGAGCCGACCCCACCCACTTCCTGCGCCAGTTTGCCTCGTCGAGGACCGACATCTTCGGCACCGAAACCGAAGAGGCAGCACGGGCACGGCGCGAGGCCGAGGAGAAGCGCCTGGCGCGCGAAAAGGAAAAGATCATCTGGGACGGCCACGCCCGCAGCCGCGAGGTGGCCAAGGACATGTACCAGAAGAACAAGGACCTCGAGGACCAGATGAACCAGCTGCACCGCAAGCCCACAAAGGCCCCGGCGCCGAGCTACGGTCCACAATTTCCCGTCCCGGCAGATGGAGCAGACGACGATGCGGCGCCGGCCAGCACCGTACCTCTGGTGCCGCCACCTGGTTCCAGCCTGCCACCGAGGCCGCTGCTACCCGGCGAGGTTCCACCAGCAAAGTCACCCAACGACGCCGCATCAGGCTCGCCGGCTCCCGCGCCGGCACCCCCGACGATGCACCCTGCCCGCATGGCTGCGCTTGGACAGGGAATTCCGTCAGATGCCTCGCCCGTGTCGGGGCAAAAACGACCTGCCGACGGAGAACCGGCCGGACAGCCTCCGCAGCAACGACCGGCGCTCGACGGCCCCGCGGGCTCGGCCTCGCCTCAGGCGCCGCCGGCAGAAGAGGGCCTGACAAAGTCCTCGGACGGGAAGCTGCACCCGGAGGTCGCTTGGCTCGCCGCGCATCCAGAGCCAGTCAAGGTCAAGGTGCGCCTCCCCGACGCGCCTTCGGTCTCGTCGCACGCCGACGGATCGGTCCTTGACTTTGAGATCGCCCCGACGGCGTCGATGGGCAGCATCCGCGACTGGGTGCACGCGTCAGTGCTGCATGCCCAGATTGGCGCGAGCCGGCTCAAGCTGAGGGTGGGCGGTCGGCCCGCGACGCTCAAGAGCACCGCGGCCAGCTGGAACCTGGTCGAGGGCGACGAGGTCGAAATTGCGCTGGGGAAGTGAGGGATGAGGCGGTATTGCGCAGGGGATGGCGGAGGGGAGGATGGTGGTATCGAAGGAGTCGCCTCGACCTCCCTTTGTTCCTCTGGTCATTCGCACTTTTTGTTCCGCCTCGACCAGACCCTTTGCTCACAATGTCACCGCTGCACGACGCCTATCCCTACCCTCGTCCGCGTCTGCTGCTGTGCGTTCACCGCTCGCGGTCCTCGTTGAAAGTTGGCCGCGCGAACAAAGGGCAAGCAGCCCTGGCCTGCTCGTCGGCAGGCCGCTTGGGGCTGTGGGGGGCAAGGGCGGATATGGGACCCATCACCATCCTCATCTATCCCAACCCTCATCACCATCCACCCGCCCCCACCTTCGACAGAGGCCGGACCTCGTCCCTCGCTCCACACTCTCGTCCCACTCCTTCTTGCTGGCAAGAAAGGCTCAACCAGGCGGACGAGCTCCACTCCCTGCGCTGGTCGTACAAAAGAGCATCGTCGCCCATCATACCTTCGTTTGGACTTCATCTGGCCGCCGTACGCACGGATACCTTCTCTTCGCCCCGCCCCCTTCTCGCACATTCACCCCAACCTCGCACTCAACCCACCAACACCACCTCTACGACCACCGTCCGAGGCGTGGAAAACCTTCCTTCCTCTCGTCCTCGTCGACCTTTCCCGCAAGCACACACGCGTACGCCAGCGTTGTGCGACTCCGCCGACATGAACGTCATCCTCGCTCCCCACTTTTCCCTGTCCGGTCGGGACGGCATGGTGCTATCGCTCAACGGCGTCCACGTCTTTCGCTTGCACCAGCCCGCCTGGCTGATCACAGGCTGGACCAACGCAAGCGGCAGCGGTAGTACAGACACCGCCTCTTCCACCTCGACGTCACCCGAGGCGGGCGCGGCAGAGACGCCGACCGAGTTCTTCCGCCCTTCGCAGCCTCCAGCCTCGTCGTGCCAGACGATGATGATGCATAACCCCTCGACCGCCTCGGCGACGGCGCGCATATCCTTCCCCTTCCTCGGCCTGCGGTCCTCGCACTCGACGCAATTCTCCTTCCAGCCCTCGCCGCGCACCGCCATGGCCATGACGGGCGTGGACACGTCGCTCGTCTTCGTCTTCCCGGCCTACCCGCGCCTATCGCGCTTCATCTCGGCCTCGGTCATCTCGCTCGTCGTCGCTGTGCTCTGGCAGCTGGGTTGGCCCCAGTCAGTCGCTGCCCGACTCCTCCGCCTCTACTCGACCCTCAAGTTTCCCACGTTTCGCTTCAAGTCGAGCCTTTTTCGCCTCCTGCTCGGCTTTAGTGCGGAGACGGATCTCCTGTACTTCTGAGAGGAGCGCGTGCGCCGTCGTCCACGTCGTCGGGTCCGGCGGAAGCCCTTGGAGGGAGTACTGCAAGCGGGGTGCAGGGTGTTGGCAAGGGGCAGCATGTCACCGGGGAATACAACATAACTTATCAGCCGGTCTGCGCAGAGGATACGGCCGCAACGGACACGTACCAGGGCAGCCACCTCTCGCTTCCACACCTCGTGCATGGCGCTGTCGTCGCCGCCTGGCGTCTCGAGGATGAGCGGGATGCCCGCAAAGCGCTCGTCGTTCATCAGCGCGTAGAAGGCGAACAGGCCGAGGTGGCCCGCGCCAATGTTTTCGTGCCGGTCCTTGTGCGACCCCAGCGGCGTCTTGCTGTCGTTGAGGTGGACCGCCTTGACGAACTCAAACCCGACCGTCGACGCGAGCTGGGACATGGTGGCGTCGTACGCCTCTCGGCTCGTCATGTCGTATCCGGCCGCGAAGGCGTGGCACGTATCGAGGCAGATGCCGACGCGCGACTTGTCCGTGACGTTGCCTGTGAAGCGACCAACGCATTGCGGTCAGACGATGCTGTTCGCACGGGAAAGCTGACGGCGACTCGGACGACTCACCGATGATGTCTCTGAGCTCCTCGAAGGTGCCTCCGATGAGGTTGCCGGCACCCGCCATGTTTTCGATGAGGATAGTGACACTCTTCGTCAGCCCGTGGGCCTTGTTGATGGCGTCTGCGATGTTCCGACAGCCCTCTTCCTTTGTACATTCGCCAACCGTGCTGCCGGGATGGAAGTTATAGAGGGCGACGCCGAGCGCCTCACATCGCTGCAGGTCGTCCATGAAGGCCTCAAACGACTTGGCCCGCTTGGCCTCGTCCGGATTGGCAAGATTTATCAGGTAGCATCCGTGCGGCACGACGTGCGGCGCGCCGTAGCCGTGCTCCTTGGTGCGCACGTGGAACTGCGACGTGTTGGTATCGGTCAAGGGCTTCGAGGCCCACTGCATCTTTGGCCGGACAAAGAGGGAAAAGGCGTTACCGCCAATCCGGAGGGCGTTTAGCGGGGCATTCTCGACGCCACCGGCGGACGAGATATGTGCGCCGACGTGGTGCGTGGATCCCAGGATGCGCGGAGGGAAGATCTCGGGCGATGCGTCGGCGGCGGCGCGCTTCCTGCTTCGCCGCTGCTTGGGCTTGACATCGGGGTCGTCGGGAGCGTCTAAGGAGTCCTCTTTCTTGACCGCGCGGGCTACCGTCCCGTCGTCGGCATCGCCCTTGATCGACGCGGCATCCTCCTGCTTTACCCGGCGGGCGGACGGCTCGGCGTTGCCTGCGACCTTGCGGCGCTTCCGCGGTGATCGTTTGACCGAGTCGAGCGGCTCGACGCGCGACTGCTCTTCGTCCTCGCGCTTGACATGGGCATCGTCACCAACCGCAGCCTGGGCAGAGTTGGACTTTGCACTTCGATGATGGGATGGTGATGCCGAGGCAGACGAAGATACACTGGCGGCCGCGGCCGCGACGGCGACGGTGGCGGCGGTGAACTGGGATTGCAGCCTGACGACGGGCCGACTGACCCTGCCGCTCCGTGTGGCTCGTGGTTCGGCCGACATGCGTGCGGTGCGCAGAACGTGCGACGATGCCGAGAACCGCAGAGCCGCTGCTGCTGCTGCTGCTGCTGCTGATGCCACTGCGAAGGGGCCAGACGGTCTCATGAACGTCGGGCGAGGGGGGCAGGGACCGGGATCGTCGGCGAAAGGCAAGCCAGAATGTCAGCCTACGCGCCCTCGCTCGTTGGGTTGGTCGAGCAATGGCGCGCCAGAATCGGATCCGAGTCGCCCGAGTGCCAAGCCCGAAGGAAAAAGGGTCGGGCGCGCCAAGACAAAGAGGCCGCAGCCACGCCTTTGGCACACGCGCGGCCTGGCTGTCAAACAGCGGAAGCAACGTTACGATCCCCGCTCCCTCGATGCCAAGACCCCTCCTCCTCTCCTCCCCCTCGTCGCTCGTCCTTCAAATGCCTTGCTTGCTAGCCAGTCGATCAGAGGGGCACGGCACCCCAGGCACCCTCTACGGTAGTCATGCCAGGAGCACGGCGGAATATCGTCGGTCCTCGCCACTTGCTTGCTTCTTGGCAGCCCCGCGACGTTTCTCTTGGCGGCTAAGTTACGTACTGTAGGCACTCTGCTCAGCTCGAGGCGACAAAGTGCTCGCCGGCCTGCAGACACGGGCGTCGCGGCGTGGCGAGGCGCGAAGAGGCGTGGCAAGGTGCCAAGAACCGCGAACACTGTGCATCCACATCGGCTGCCGCTCTCCTCTCTCCGCTCCCCTCGCTGGCCCTTTCCGCCCACTGCAACATCGCCTTCTTTGTGCCAAAATAGCATCACATCGACGCCAAGGTGTGTGCGCCGAGGCCGTCGTCGCAGTGCGGCTGCGCTTGATGAATTAGCCGACGGGAGACCCAGGGGGATCGACAGGGGCGACCGCCTGTGCCTTCCTCTCCTGCCCGTTCCTCTGGAATGCCTCCCTCAAGGTCTTGGCAAGGTCCAGTACCGACACGAGGCGGGGAGCCGTAACCTTGAGCAGGCGAGGTTGTCTTGAACGGAACCGGATCCCCGAGGCTTTCCGGCAATGGCATCCGTGACGGAGCGCGCGCGCTCTTTTCCATCCTCGCCACAGCACGATGTAGGCAAGGTAGTTAACGCAAGCATCCCGTACCAGCTTCCACGTTGTGGACCGTCACCGAGCGCAAATTGCCTCGCAATATTGATCAAGAATGGAAGGCGGAGGGCGCTCCAAACGCCTTTCCAGCTCGTCCAAACGGGGACGAGGGCCGGCAATGAAGCGGGTCTTGGCTCCCCCTGTCGACGGCAAGCGCCTCGGTCGGGTAGCGTTACGTGCCGATCCAGTACGTTCTTGGCTTCAAAGTGCTCCATCTGCATCCCGTCACAGGTATTGTTCGCTCGTTGCGCCTTCGTTTGTCGAGAAGGGTTCCACGATGTCTCCCCGCATCCATCCGTGCTGCTGCTTGCCGCCTCGTCGTGTTTGCCAAGCCTCCGCCCTTGCCTCCCGGACCTTTCCCCTACCCTCGCTCCGCCCGTTGCCTCGTTCCAGCACGTACGCCGTGCGCGCCCTCCGCCCCCGTCTGTGCTCGCTGTTCTCCCCTCGGTGCTGTGACTGTGGCTCCATCTCAAAAGCCTCGAAGGCTTCTTCAAGGACGGTCGTCGTCTCCCTCTTGACCTTTAACACAGAACCTTTGTCTCCCCACCACACTCATTTTTCCGTCCCCCCGCATCACCACCGTAACCCCTCCTTCCTCCCAGCACCGACATGACGCGCTTCACTTTCGCCACCGCGGCGACCCTGCTCGCCTTTGCGCAGCTCAGCCTCGCGCAGGACCCGCGCGCCGAGACCGACCTCGACCGCAACAGGCCCACCAAGACCTGGACCCAGTGGCAGCCCAAGGCCACCTACGCCATCAACGAGCTCCCCGACCAGTACATGGGAGCCAACCGCATCGAGTCCGGAGAAGGCGGCCAGCCCGGCGGCGAGCCCCAGAGCGGCTACAACACCTGCGCAAAGGACACCTGGTCCCAGGACTCGCGCTGCCAGACCGCCTGGATCAACTCCCTCGAAGACTTCTGCATCTGGGGACCCGCCGAATACGGCACCGTCGGCGAAAAGGAGCGCTCCGGCGTCGCCTACTGCACCACCGACAAACACGGCACCCGCCTCATCCCCGACGGCACCATCACCGGCGCCCACTTCGTCCGCACCAAGGACTACGTCCAGGTCACCGGCGTCGGCGACTTTACCTCCATCAACATCCCCGCCGGCGACGACGGCGGAGAATTCGACCCTCACGGCGCCGATGACCTCGGAAACCCCATCGGCGGCATCCTCTACACAACCGCCAACCCGGCAACAGGAGGAGAGGCGTGGCACGCGAGCGAGTGGACAAACTTCGCATCAAGCACCATGTATTGTATTCGGGCTTGTTGGGGTGAGAACGCCGCCAAGCAGTGCGAGCATATCTACGACGTTATGGGATGTCGATGGAATATTCCCGCCAACTACGACGCGGGCGTTTTCGAGTCCTGCGAAGGTGATATCGGCCAGCTTGCCGGCATTTACGGCAGCTCGACGTTCCGACAGGGCGACGCAAGCACTCCCCCGGCTCACCCTGCGCCGTCGTCTTCGCAGTGCAAGACGGTGCCGACGATTTCTCACGGTCTCCCGGCGCGTAGCCTCGGCCTGGCGGCGCCTTCCTCGTCGACCTCCGCCGCCTCCAGCAGCACTGGTTCGGCTGCCCCGTCGTCGGGATCGTCCTCTTCGGCTGCTGCCTCCGGTCTCTCCTCCAGGTCCAACAACGCTGCTGAGGCCGCCGCTACCGGTAGCGGCAACGCTGCTTCGGCCGGGCAGAACACCGCGGCCCAGGGCACCAGCGGCGCGTCGGCGCTCGCCCTTCCCCTCGTTTCCTCCGCCCTCGTCGGCGTTGCTGCTCTCGCTCTCTTCCTCTAGTTGACCCGCTCTTTCACTGTCGAAGGCACTTGTCAGTTGCTTGCTACCTACTGTACGGCATGTTGCACTTTTGCTCGCCGCAATTCAGGACAATTTGGTCGTGCCTTTCGCTGGACGCGGTCCTTCGGCGCGTGCTGTCGGGAATTTCGGAGGCGAGCTGTCCACCTCTGCATCGGCCAAAATCACGTCCGTGAAGAGTCTTGCCGGTCCCACATCTGACTTGTGACTGCAACGGCCCTTTCAAAACTGTGCTACCTTGCACTGAGGACGACGACGCTGCTTGAGGCGCTGCACAGCAGCCTCGTAACTACTACACGACATCCATTCAAATCCCGGCCGGCAATCTCCTCCACCACCACCGACGCCCTCGACACCTGCCGTCCGACACTGAGAAGTGACAGGCATACCACGATGCAACCCCTCCTGCCGTCCTACCGGCTATTGTCGGCGGCGACGATGCGGTCTCGAACGACGTTGTTCCAGATTTCGTCGTTGACCTGTTTGGCGCGGGTGAGCTGTTTCCGCAACGCTTCGACCTGGCGACTGAGCTCCTCGACCTTTTCCGCCTGTTCCGCCGATCCGACCATGCTGCCACCGCCTCCGCCGCCTCCGAGCGACCCTGCCAGTGCTGACGACACCGCATCGCCGCTTCCCCACCCGCCTTGAGACTGTAGCGCCAGGGAAGTCGCGGGCCGCGAGCTGTCCCATATCGGGTCAATCCAGCTTTCGGCATCTGGCTGCTCGCCTATCCGCACATTGATGACGAGGTCGGAGCGGTCATCTTCGCCCTTGACCTGCCGCTGGAAATTCACCACTGGCCTGATTGGCAGAGGGAGGGAGCTGCCGGTGCTCGAACCTTCCCAGCCACCGACGAGATCTCGTGGCCGCTTCATGGTGATGATGTTGGTCACGGCGTTGCGACCGGAGGCCGCAGCGCCGGCGGCCCCTGCTTGTCCGAGCAGCGAGACTGTCTTGAGCACCTGCGAGTTGGACACGTCGATGACCAGTAGCATCCCCGACGCCGTGCCGACGAGGAGGAATGTCGCGTGGAGGGAGAGGGCAAGCGAGGTGATGGAATCCGCAATCGGGATCAGGCTGCCGTCCTGCGTCGCAGATGCGGCCGTGATGCGCTCTGGCTCCGACGTGGCGTTGTCGGCCCTCGCCTCCCATGTGGTGAGGCCCTTGAGGGCTGGCGTGACGAATGCGCCCATCGACAGGCCTGTCCCTGCGCCGGCGGCAGAAGACGAGGACGCGACAGTGTGGCCGGACGCGATCTGCTTCTTTCTGAAAAGATCGACGCGGAAGATGGTGTCCTTGGATCCGGTCGATGTCGAGGCGAAAAAGAAGCGCTCGGTGGGGTCCAGGACGACGCGTCGGATGGGATGGTCAAAGGCAAAGGTGGCGCGCAGCGTCCTGGTGCGGACGTCCCACGCCTTTACGGTCGAGTCGAGCGAGGAGCTAAAGAGGGTCATCTGGTGCGGGAAGGCGCCGTTGCCGACCTCGATGTCGGTGATGGCGAGGTTGTGGTCGGCGAGGGTGCAGTAGGGGGTGGGGTTGTGCGAGGAGGATGTGATGGACGACGACGACTGCTGTGAAGGCGCCAGCAGGCCGGCCAGGCTCCACACGAGGATGCGGGCGTCTTCGCTGCCGGTCACGAGCGCCTGAGCGTCGCTGGACCAGCGCAGGACGGTGATGCTGCGGTAGTGGGCGTCAAAGGAAGCGAGGAGGTCGCCGGTGGCCACGTTCCACAGGAAGATGCGGCCGTCCGTGCTTCCGGCAGCGACGAATGCGCCGTCGGGGGATGCTGCGAGGCAGGAGAGCTTCTGGGGCAGGATGATGCGGAGGACGGGATGGTCCTTTTGGAACGAGTAGACGTTGAGCATGGCCTTGTTGGCCTCGAGCTGGAAGACGAGGCCGCCGGTGCCACCGAGCGCTGGGTTGGGCTGGGATGCGACATAGTCGACCGAGTGGGCAGCGGGGTCGGAGAGGCCCTTGAACGAGAGAAGCGACGTGGTCGACGAAGATGCGGCGAGGTTGGTGATGGCCATGGATCCGGGAGCCGAGGGCGAGGACGAGGTCGTGTAGAGGACGACCTCGCTCGCGAAGAGGGAGGCCGCGGTGGCCATACTGGGGCGATGTTGGGAGTGCCGATGCGGGGCAGGAGAGTGTGATGGAGGCGAGGGTGAGGAAGGTCGACGCGAGGTGGTCGAACCAGCATAGGCTTAGGGTCGCCGAGGCCAGAAGTTCTGTGTGGAGCTGGCCACGGGGCCTGCAACAGCAGCGAACGAAGAAAAAGCGGCGAGGCATGCAGCTCGGAAGTCGGATTGGAAAACCCAAAAATGCGCTTTCGGAACCGAAAGAGCCAAATTCTTCTCGTGGGGCCAACATCGAGGGCCAGGGCGCTGGGCCGCGCCGCCGTGACTCGAGAAGAACAGGGCGGGGCCCGCGGGTGATTTATTGTGGCCCTGCAGCGTCCATGGCATGGCTGGCTTGGGTGGGTGCGGTGGCCTGGCATGCATGTGGGGGGCCGCCGCCCTCGTCGTCGCCGGGGTGAGCCAGGAGGGCAAGGACCGGCTGGACGGGACAATCGGGACGGCAATCAGCGAATGAGGCCGTCGGGTTGGCAGCCCGGTCAAAGTGACTCACGGCCAACCGCCGAACGTCGGGAGCCAGCAGAAGGGCCTGCCTGCCAGCCCAGCCAGCCCAGCACCGTCTTGGCTTGGCGCGCCGAGCGGGGCGGGCCCCAACAGCCGCGCGCTCACAACCACCTCCTCTCCTTCTCACCACAACCATCGCACCCTACCGCCGCCTCTCCGTCGCCACCGTCAGCGCTTCTCTCCCCGCCAGCTCCGCAACCGCCCCGCTCCCCCGGCCACTGCCTGCCTGCCTGCCCAGCATGTGTGGAATCCTCGGGTGTATCCACCACCCGGACGCTCCGGCGTACCGCCAAAAGATGCTCAACATGTCGCGCTGCATCCGCCACCGCGGCCCGGACTGGTCCGGCTGCGTCGTGACAAAGGAGGACGAGAGCGGCACAAAGGGCTCCATCCTCTGCCACGAGCGCCTCGCCATCGTCGGCATTTCGACGGGCGCCCAGCCCCTCGTCAGCACCGACGGCAAGGTCATCCTCGCCGTCAACGGAGAAATCTACAACCACCGCCAGCTGCGCAAGAACCTCAAGGACCAGAACGCCGAGTTCAAGACCCAGTCCGACTGCGAGGTCATCCTTCACCTCTACCGCGAGATGGGCTCCGACTTTGTCAAGCTCCTCGACGGCATGTTTTCCTTTATCCTCCTCGACACGTCCGTCACCCCGAGCCGCGTCATTGCCGCCAGGGACCCCATCGGCATCACGACCCTCTACCAGGGCGCATCCTACAAGTACCCGGGCGCCGTCTACTTCTCCTCGGAGCTCAAGGCCATCCACGAGGAGTGCGACCGCATCCGCACCTTCCCGCCGGGCCACTTTTACGACAGCAGCCTGCCCGAAGGCCAGGAGACGGTGCGCTACTACGAGCCCAGCTGGTGGAACGGCGACGTCGACCTCGCCTCGATCCCCGCGGGCGACGTCGACCTCAAGGCGGTGCGCGAGGCCCTCGAAAAGGCCGTCCGCAAGCGCCTCATGAGCGAGGTCCCCTACGGCGTGTTGCTCAGCGGCGGCCTCGACTCGTCGCTCATCGCCTCGATTGCCGCGCGCGAGACCGACAAGCTCGCCGACGCCCAGCGGAAGGCGTGGGAGGAGAGGCAGGCGCGGAGGGCGCGCGGCCTCACGACGCCCGCCGGCGATGCAAAGGCCCCCGTTCTGCCCGTCGGCCTCGACGAGGACGCCGACAACGAGGTCGAGAACCTGGCCGCCTGGCCGCGCCTTCACTCGTTCTCGATTGGCCTCGAGGGCTCGCCGGACCTCATTGCCGCCCGCCAGGCGGCCCAGTTCCTGGGCACCGTTCACCACGAGCACACCTTTACCGTCCAGGAGGGGTTGGACGCCATCGCCGACGTCATCTTCCACCTCGAGACGTACGACGTGACGACGGTGCGCGCCTCGACGCCCATGTACCTGCTGTCGCGCAAGATCAAGGCCATGGGTGTCAAGATGGTGCTCTCCGGTGAAGGGTCCGACGAGATCTTTGGAGGCTACCTCTACTTCCACGCCGCGCCGGACCGCGAGTCGTTCCACCAGGAGCTCGTCAAGCGCGTAAAGAACCTGCACACGGCCGACTGCCTGCGCGCCAACAAGTCGACGATGGCGTGGGGGCTCGAGGCGCGCGTGCCCTTCCTCGACAAACAGTTCCTCGAGGTGTCGATGAACATTGACGCCAAGCACAAGATGTTTTCCAAGGGATCCCTCCAGCAGCGCGACGCCGACGGACGCCCGCTCATGGAAAAGTACATCCTGCGCAAGGCGTTCGACGTCATCCCGGACGACCTCGACGCCGGCGGCAACGGCGACGGGTCCAAGGTGACGGTGCCCGGCAAGCCGGCGCCCAAGCCCTACCTGCCCGAGTCGATCCTGTGGCGCCAAAAGGAGCAATTTAGCGACGGAGTCGGCTACAGCTGGATCGACGGCATCAAGGACCACGCCGAAAAGGTCGTCAGCGACGCCAAGTTTGCAGAGAGGCAGAAGCGCTACCCCGTCGACACGCCCGATACAAAGGAGGCCTACATGATCCGCGAGATCTTTGAAGGTTGGTTCCCCTCGGACGCCGCGGCCCGGACGGCGGTCCGATGGGTGCCAAGAGGCGACTGGGGCTGCTCGAGCGACCCCTCGGGCAGGAGCGTCGCCATCCACGACTCGGCCTACTCGACCGACGAGTAGGACGCCTGCCGCCGCCTCCTCGGCGAGCTCGACTCCCCCTTTCTGTCGCGTCTCTAGCCCAAAACAGCTGTTTCCCAGCCCTTGCCACCGGTTTAATGACGACCCTCGTAGACGATCGCAGCACGCGTGCCTGCACGTTGCTGACGGCCTGTTTCCAGGCAACCCTTACCGCGAGACCTGTGACCACGGGCTGGCCGCCGGGATCCGGCAGATCGGCTCTGTCTGCGTGGCGGAGGATAGCGATGACCGGTATGAGATCGACACGACGACAGGACGAGAAGGACGATAGAGTACAGGAATACAGGGGCGTCACGGACATGGTTGCCGTCGGAAGCAGAACGAGGCGGTCAGCGCACTGACAACGCCGACGCCTCAACGGCCGCTCTGGCTCTCATCGAGAGCGACCCAGCTAGCGCCGAGCGGGCTGTCGGTCGCGCGGCTCTCGTTCTCCGACGCGTAGTTGGCCGGCGAGGCGGCCCCCCTGCTGCTGGGCGCGGCGCCCATCCACAAGTCCGCGGGACCCGTGCCGGCCCGGCTCTGCGCCGACGCCGAGCCGAGCGTGGTGCGACTGTCGCTCTGGCTCGACGAGTGCTGGCTCGAGCTGAGCAGCGGACTGGCCTCGACGCCGGTCTCGTCTCCCTCTGCGTCGACATCGACCTCGGCGTCGCCGTCGTGGTCGCCATAGGCCGAGGAGGTCACGCTGCTAGGGAGGCCCGAGCCGGATCCGAGGCCCGAGGATCGCTCGCTCTCCGGCAGGCTCTGGGCGTCCGAGTCGCGGGTGTCGTAGCCGGCCTGCGTCGCTCGTCGCGCGACCTGGTTGTCCTCCAGCGACGTCCTCAGGTGCGACCTGGAAGCTGGTCCGGGGCCCGGTCCGCCAGCATACCCGCCCCCCGCGCCATCGCCCGACCGCGGGGTCTGGCCGCGGCTCGCTGCCCAGCCACCCGCCGCGGAGAAGGCGTGCTCGGCCCGACCGATGAGGCCCGCACGTCGCAGCGAGAGCTGGCGGCGAAGTGCCAGCACAATGTCGACGAAGCTCGTCGGCAGCATCGACAAGAACGAGTGGGTGATTGCGAGCCAGTAGGCCGAGACGGTGCGGGTGCCGACCGTGTACGACGGCTTCAGGCGCCGTTTGGGCGACAGAAGCAGGTCGCTGACCTTTTGCAGGACCGGCGCCGCAGCTGGCGAGCGGTGATGCCACTGCGACGAGGTCGAGGCAGACCGCGCCAGCGACGGCCGCGTCGAGGATCCTACCATCGTAGACGAAGACGAGAGAGGCGCCTGAGCGTCCGAGGCGGAAGCAGGTGATCCACCGAGCAGCGAGCCAGAGTTGATCTCGACGACTGTGACGCGAACATCGCGCTGCTTGGGAAGGGGTCGGCCGGCATCCCTGGCCTGACGCCGACCGGAACCGCTGCCGCTGCCAGCGTTGGAGGCGACCCGGTAGCCGGCCTTTGAGTTCAGCGAGTCCTCCTCGCACTCGCGACGCAGGCTCTGAACGCCAGCAGCGAAGCCTTGCGCGACCACCGATAGCACGCCTTGACGGGGCAACGAGGTCCTCGAAGCTGGGCTCGAGACCAGATTGATGACGGCTGCAGGGAAAAGATCGGTCTGGTCGTCGGATCGGTTCGGCAGCGAGCGAAGGAGCGGGAGGAGACTGCCGAGGACGCAGAGACTCGAGACGACATGCTTGTCGAGCAGCTCCGATGTGTGGTCTGGGCTCAGCCGCGACATGGGCAAGCTCCCGACGCTCGTCGCCAGGCTGGAGGTGGACATGCTCCTCGAGCCGGCCAAGGCATCGTCCTCGGGCGAGAGGAAGCCCAGCGCGTTGACGACGCCCGCGATGCTGACATTCTCGCCCGGCCGAGCGTACGGATCGCCTGCGCTGGTGAGCGGGTACCTCAGGCTGAGTGCCGCGTTGAGCGCGCGGATGAAGGGCTGCAGCGATCCGGTCGGGTCGCTCGTGTCAAACACGACCGCCTTGACATAGCCGCGAGAGCTTGGTGGGATGTGGGTCTCAAACTGCGCCAGCGCCGACGACGACGACACCGAGGCGAGGACGATGAAGCCCATGCCCGAAAAGTGGAGCGCCATGGAACGGCCGATGGGGGTGTCTCCGCCGAGGACTATGACTGCTTCTCTCCGAATTCCGTTCTGCGTCCGGATCTTACGGGTACGGCGGTTGCTGGCCACCTGCTTGCGACCGAGGCCGGGTAGCCAGATGGCACCGCTCAGGTAGGCAGCCCTTGTGCCGAAGCCGAGGACTAGGACACCACCGGCGACTGAGAGACCGCGCCGGTGGTCCTTGATCCATTGGTGCACAATCTCGAGCGTGCTGGGCGGCGGAGGCGGCGGTGGTGCGGGCGGTGGTGCCGACATTGGCGAAAAGACCTCTTGCACTTTGCCTGTGAGACCTTCGGGCAGCGATGGCAGGTTTGGTAGGGGCGGGCCGTACTTGGTCAACTGCGTGTAGAGCGCATCGTAGTACTCGTGCACCGTCACCGAGATCTTGTGCGGGAGCTCCTGCTGTGGGCGTGCAAACCAGGCAGGGTATGGGAGAATGGTGGATGCGATTCTATTTCAGCGTGGCTGAGGGTAAAGGCGCGGTGCTCGTCTGCGGCCGCCATTGACTTGCAGTGACTCACCAGGTTACGAGGAAGATTCTCCTCGATGAGGTCTTCGATGTCGCTCAGGGAAGGCATACTTCTGTGATGATGCTGCCGGCTCGAACAGCGGGACGCGGGCGGTCGGGGATGTGACGCGGCGGGCCGGTGGTGGCGATAAGCGGGACTAGAGACGGCGTGCCTTTGGAATGGCGGGTGCGACGGGCGGTTGTGAGCGGGGCCAGGATGGAATGAAAGGGATGAGAGGGGATTGGGGAGAGTCAGGCCCAGTCCGAGGGGCGATGTGTGACAGCCCGGTGTTGGTGGCGGTGGTCGTCAGGGGGGGTGTAGGGTCGAGGTGGGGTTGTGAGCTGGTCAGGCTAGGGTCTCGACGCTGGCGCACGCCATCCGCTTGTTGGCTCTGGGCCGGCTGCGCGCGCGCGCAAGAGGGCGGGCTCTTGTGAGGCAGGCGGATGAGGCAGGCCAGCACGTAGGCTCAGGCCAGGCCAGGCCAGGCCGGACTGCTTGGAAAATCGGGCCGCCCTCATGCCTCCACACGCGGGAAAGGCGCTCACCCACCAAGCAAGCAAGCAGATGGACGGGCCACCAACCAAGGCAACCCGGGCTAGGCTGGGCTAGCTGGAGCCCCTTTTCAGGAGGCCATCTTGAGCTCGAGCTTCCACCTCTTCATACCAGCGCCCTTGCGACGAAGAGAGCTGATCAACGCCAGCCTGACCTGCCTCATGGGCCAGGACACGACCGACTGCAACAGGCCTGAAAGCAGGCCGCCAGCGTACGAGTCAAGCAAGTGTCGTAACACGGCCGATCCGCTAGCCATCGGCAAGCGTCCCGATGGCCGCCTTCCCGATGGATGATGGCAGGTGGTTCCTACTCGGCCGGGCAAAGCCTCGTGGGCCGGCCTAGCCTGTTGCCTGGCCTGGCCACGCCTTCCGCAAGCACAGCCAACGTGCAGTCGAGACGACGTGCGGGGCGGACAGCAAGGGGGCATCTCCCGGCTCCTTGGGTGGCGCGGCCGGCAGGTGGAGAGGCAGGGTGCGCAGAGCGTGCAAGGCCCCGCCCAAGACGATGGATGGGCCGGCCCGGCATGACTCGGTCGAACTCGCCCGCCCGCTCGACTCGACGGTCGGCGCTCGGCCTTTTGGGGCCGACCGACGTGGCAGCGCTCGCTCCGCCAGGCCTGCCTGCCAGCTCTCCAGCCTCTGGCCCGCCTTGCCTGCTCGCTTGCTTGCTTGCTTGCTTCTTTTCGGGCCAGCCGTGCGCCATTCTACAATTTCCCTCTTGGCGACGCCAATGTCGTCGTTTCGAAGGAGATGCAGCCGTGACATGCTACACCGCCAAGCGACGCCAATTTAGCGCTCTGTTTGACGACGAGGGGCCGTGGCGACGAAGGCGGTGTAGGTGGATGCAGTGGGGGCAGCGCCGGGCAACGTCGGCGACCCACCAAGCATTCGAGCAAACAAGCAAGCAAGCCAAGAGGCGGGCTAGGGAGCGCCCTATCGGCCATCGTTGGCCCAGTGGAGCTCGGGCGGGAGTGCGTGCCGAAGGCTCGGAGGGTTTCCCCTTTTGCCGTGGGCCGCTCTGGTTGCAGAGCGCGAGAGAGAGGGAGAAGGCGCGACGATAAGCAAAGAGATGGCCTGCCCCTGGCCTGGCCATGCGAGCCTCTAGCCTGCCAACAGGTAGCAGCGGAGAAGCAGGCGGGCCAGGCAGGCGGCAGATCAAAAAGAACGAAAAAAAAAAGCCGCATGGGGGCGGGCGGGCTGAGGCCTCGTTCTCGTCTGGCGGCGGTTGTGTGGTGCGCTGGTGCTGCATGTCTGCGGGCCGACTGGCTGTTGCTCGTGGCCCGACTTGGCGGCGGCCGGACCGCTGAGGCGTGATTAGGCTCCTGTGCGGGCCTCCTGCCTGCCTGCCGACCTGCCTGTCTGCCTGCTGGCCCGCCTTGGCCTGCATCCCAACGCAACACAAAGGGTGGAATGCCGCGTCTCGGTCGGGGTTAAGGCACGACGACGAGAGGGCAGGCGGCCAGGCAGGGGCAGGTGGCGAGACAGGCAGCCAACCAGGCCCACGCACGCAGCAGGCAGGCTAGCTAGGGTTCAGGCAGCAGGGAGCTGCATCGACAGCAGAAGCGGCAGCCCCACTGCTCACCTCTCGCTCTGCCTCAGAGGGCGGGCGGCGTCGTGGACTCGAGGCAAACGTATAACCACACAATCCCCACCATCTGGCTCGACCTGCCTACCTGTCCCTCACTTCGACACCACCACCACCACCACCACCACCATCGCTCGAAGTGCCATCGTGACGGTCGACATCGCCGCCTACAAATCTCAACCTCCCTGCCGACGACCACCAGTCAGCCAGCAGCGCGTCCATCAGGAGCGCCGGTGCCAGCAACGCCACCGCGACCGAGCTCTCCGCCACCGCCCTTCGGCAATCTCTGGACGCGCCAGCCTCCTCTGCGCCCCACCTCGCCCTCTATCTCCCTTTCCAGCATCTCCAGGCGGTGACCTGCCCATCCTATCTCTCACATAGACAGTCTAGACGACCCCTACTGCTCTTCACCTCGCCACAGCAACCATGACCGCGCTTCTCTCGTCGCCGCACGATTTCATGAGCCTCCACGCGCTGTCGGGCAGGTCTCGCAGCCCGGCGCGCAGCTCTTCGCCGCACCGGCGATCTTCTTCGGCACGGCTATCGTCCCCCTCGCGCTCCAACTCGTCCCTAGCCACGTTTGTACCCGCCTCCGCCGCCAGCACCGCCAACACCACCGACGACGAGATGCCTGACGCAGGGGACCAGGAAGCCGACAAGCCCAGCAGGGGCAGGCTCCGCCTTACGCCAGAGCAGAAGGCCAGTTTTGCAGCACACATCGAGGAAAGCAAGAAGAAGTGAGCATCGGCTCAGAGTGTCGGTCGACGATCAACCCTGCATCCGCGCGCAAGACACTGACCTCGGATCCGCTCTTTATTTCCCGGCATCCGTCCCACCCCATCTCTCTCTGACCGCAGGTTCATCTCCGACACCGCTCACCTGCCAAAGACGACCAACATGGGCCTGAGCAACGCGGAAGCGGCGGCAGCAATGTCGCAGAACCGCTTCAACTACAGCAAGAAGGACTTCAGCTGGGACCTCGACGACGATGATGGCGAGAGCTCTGGCGTCCGACGCAAGGTCGCTGTCAAGGACACGGCCGTCTTCCAGATGGCGCTGCCGGTTCTCTACGTTTCGTCGATCCCCAACTCGGTCCTCTTTTTCCAAAAGGTGCTCGGCTTCTCGACGGTGGGCAAGCCGGCCACGCACCAGGCCGTGGTGCGACGCGGTCCCGCCGCCAAGCTGACGTCGGGCACCAACGCGCGCAACTGGTCCGCCGTGCCCCCGCTGGGCCAGGACCCGGGCGTCCGCATCGTCCTGCGCATGCGCCCGCAGGAGTGGGGCGAGCTGAGCGGCGACGGCATGGGCCCGCCGCAGCTCATGGTCGCCGTCAGCAGCGCCGACGACCTGTACAAGGAGGTGTCGGCCAAGATGGAGGCGCTGCGGCCCAAGGGCGACGAGTACTTTCCCGAAGTCTGGTTCTTCAAGGCCAAGGTGCTCAGCAAGCCGCAGAACAAGCCCTGGGGCGCCCGCGAGCTGCACCTGCTCGATCCCGACGGCAACAAGATTGTCTTTTTCAACGAGATCCACCGATGAGGAGCCAGCGCAGCGTCGCCGGCCTGCCCCCTCGCGGCTTCGTTTCACGCCCATGGTCGATCCGCTCTTCAAAGAGAAGATTCAGCATCACCACCACCTCTCATCGAGCTTCCGGCTCTTCAACACCACTCACCTCTCAGCATTGTCCTTCTGGTTATACCCCCTCGTCTCGGCCCAGCGACGGCGATTCGATCCTTGTCACGGCTCCCTCCAACTTCGCTCGCTCTTTTGTCCCAACATCGCCGTCGTCTCGGTGTACCAAGCGGCCATCCAGCCCCATCAGCATCTGTAACATCAGCCCTACCCATTCTCGACTCGCTGCATCCTGGTCCTCAGTTGGCATCATACCTTACCTTTGTCGCGCCCTGCCTATCGAATCGACAACATTCCCACTCTCTCGCTCCTCTTCACCGGATCCGGCTGGCCGTGTGTCCACCAACCCCTTGGCGCAGGAGCGGCTTGGCTGACCTTGGAGAGTGCGAGAGTGACGTCGTCTATTATTCTCTCGATGATCGTGTGTGGACGCTGTGTCGGCGTCTTCTATATGCTCTCGACTGAGTCAATCGGAAATGCGTGTATGTCTGTCTGTCCAAGAAGACGGGTGGCAGGGTCGCCTGACCTCGCGGCGTCGTCGTGCAATGACTGACGGGGCGGAGGGGAGGACTCCTACTCGTAGGCGGGTCGGGAGGATTCGGCGTACTGCTTGGTGCCCATCTCGGTCAAGCGCGAGATGACACGGGCAAAGGCGAAGAGCTCCTCATCGCCCGTAAAGATGGGCGAACCGCCCAGATCGTCCATGGTTAGGCCCTACGGGGTGCGGCAGTGTGCAGAGGAAGCAACGGCAGGGTGTCAGTCGTTTGCGCGTGGAGATCGTACGCGAGCCGTATCTGCGCTCGTGCCTGCGGCCCCCTTACGGCAACTCACCAGGTCGTCCATGAGCGCGCGCATCTGATCCGCCGTGGGCTTGTCCTGCCCCTTGTCGCCGCTGAAGATCTGCAGGATGGGCACTTCGCTGCTGGCGAGGAGCTTGGTCTTGCTCTCGTAGGCGGCGTCGATAAACGTGATGAAGCGGCGCGCCAGGTCGCGCTGGTGCAGGCCCATGCGCGGGACGGCGTCGACAAAGACGGTGTTGAAGCGGCTGCACAGCTCAATGTAGTCGGCCGCCGACTTGGGCGTGCCGCACAGCTCGTCGAACGTGAAGCGCGCCACCTTGGACGTCGACAGGGGCACCTTGAGCGTGCGCCCCCAGATGGTCAGCGGCCGGCTCGCCTGCACGGGATCGTCCGGGTCCGAGGTGAGGGCGTCAAAGATTTTGTCAAACTCGCGCCGGTTGGCCACGTCGAGCGGCGAAAAGTAGACTTTGGACAGGGCGCGGGGTTGCTTGCGGTAGTCGGTGCCCGAGTTGAGGTCCGTCACGCGGTACTGGCGCTTGAGCAGCTCAATCGCCGGCAGGAACGAGGAGCGCTGGATGCCGTTTTTGTAGAGGTCGTCCGGGTGCCGGTTGGACGTCATGACGCACACGGTGCCGTACGCCGCGATGCGCTCGAGGAGGCCGCGGAGGATCATGGCGTCGGCAATGTCCGTCACCTGGAACTCGTCAAAGCAGAGGACGCTGTAGTGGCGCGACATTTCGCGCGCAACGGCCTCGATGGCGTCCGACTCCTCGCCCGCGGGCGCGGCCGACGACGACGACGACGACGACGACGCCTTGGATGACGAGGGCAGCGCCGTCGGGTTCGACATCATCATGACGATGCCCGATGGGCGGTGCGTCTTGGACTTATAGTAGTGGGCGCGCTTGTGGGCCTCGATCATGAACTGGTGGAAGTGGATCCTGCGCTTGCCCGTGACGTTGGGCGGCAGGGTGTCGTAAAAGAGGTCCATGAGCATGCTCTTGCCGGTGCCGACGTCGCCGTAGAGGTAGAGGCCCTTTGGGACGCCTTCGGGCACAGCGATGGGGTGATGGTCATCGCCGCTACCGTGGCCGCTTCCGCCTACAAAGGGGAGCCAGGAGAGCAGCCCTCTTGATTTCGGCTTGATGGCTTCGTCGGGATCCGGGACGGGGCCCTGCTTGTAAGTTCTCAACTCGTCGTGGAGGCCCTGGAGGACCTCTACGATGCTGCGCTGGTGTGCGTCGTCGCGCAGCACTCCGCTGTCGACGAGCGCCTGGTAGCGTGTGGTGGGGTCATCGCGGGGCGCCTTGGCGGTCGAAGTGGCTGCGCTGCGAGAGCGCGAGGATGTGGACAGCGGTCGATGTGGGGAAGGGACGAGGGTGGTGGACCGTCGTGGTAGCGACTTGCGAGGATGCGGCAGCTGTCGTAGTGGTGGTGTGCGAACGCGAGAGGAGTTCGAGGTCGAGAAGGTGGCCGGAGGAATTGTGCCCACGCGACGCTGGCCGGCGATGCGGCGGGCGGAGGGGAAGGCGGCGAGCCGTTGTAGCGCTGCCCGGGATGGTCCGACGTGTGCTGCAACGGGCATGGCCAGGCAGGAAGAAGGATGTGGTAAGGTGCGGAGGGGAGGCGAGGGATGAGCTAAGAAGGTTGTCAAAGGGGCGGTCGATGAGCAGTGAGGTACTAAGATGAGAGCGAGGAGTGGGCGAGGGGAGGAGTCGAAGGGCGAGGGCGAGGGCGAGGGCGAGGTTGACGGGCGAGCGGGCGCCAAGGCCAAGGCTAGGCCAGGCCTGCTGGCCAGGCCGGACGATTCCAACCTTCTCACAACTGCGCCGCCGGTCTCTCGGCGTTTTTCGGGTTGAGGCGGCGCAGCCCAAAAACGTCAGGCGAGGCCCGGGCGCCACCCCCGTCCGTCGTTGCCGGCACAGAGATGCACGCAGGCCGCACCCCTTGACACGCCGCGTCTGCCCACCTGCCCGTCCGGCCCGCGTGCCCAACACCGGCCCCTGCCAACAGGTGGTCGCTCCAAAAACGCGGGGACGCTTTTCGGTTCCGAGCTTTGGCCTTGGTCGCTGGCCTCCACATTTCCGGTGAGCGTGGCTACGTGGCCCGGGGGAGCCACGCTCGGGCGCACCTCTCTCCCTCAACCCCATTCCACCACCGTCCGATCCCGCCACTCACTCTCGATCAAGATCACACACCGTCCGTCAACCCACCATGTCCGAAACAGCCGCCGCACCCCTCCGCTGGGTCCCGCTCGAGTCCAACCCGGAGCTCTTCACAGAGTGGTCCCGCGGCATGGGCCTCGACACCAGCCGGTACACGTTCCACGACATCTTTGGCCTCGATCCAGACCTCCTCCAGATGGTCCCGCAGCCCGTAGAGGCGGTCCTCCTCCTCTACCCAACCACGCTCGACACCGCACAGATGCGCAACGACGAAGAGGCCACCACGCAGGAGCACGGCGCCAACGAGGCCGACGGAGACACGATCTGGTTCAAGCAGACCATCGGCAACGCCTGCGGCACCATCGGCCTCCTGCACGCCCTCTCCAACTCGAGGGCCATCGACGCCTTCCCCAAAGACAGCCCGCTCCGACGCCTCCTCAATCAGGCAAGGCCGCTCGACCCCAAGCAGAGGGCGCAGCTCCTCGCATCCTCAAAGGAACTCGAGTCCGTCCACTCGTCGACCGCCAGCGCAGGCCAGACGGCCGCACCGCAGGCCACCGACGACATCATCCTCCACTTTGTCTGCTTCATCCGCGACAAGGACGGCGACCTCGTCGAGCTCGACGGCAGCAGAAAGGGCCCGCTCAAGCGCGGCATCAAGGTCGACACCCAGGAAGACCTCCTCCCCAGGGCCGCCGCCTTTGTCCAGCAGCACTACGTGAGTCGCGACGTCCGCTCTGGGGCCAAACCGCGCCTCAGGACATCCTCTGACCCCCTGCATGCCTCTCGCCGTGGCATTGCGCCTTCTCCTCTGCAGATGGCCAGGAACCCGAACGAGGTCAACTTCAACCTCATCGCCCTCGGACCGGCCTCTGACTTCTAGCGCCGCCGTTCGCCCGCATCGAGCCTTGCTCGTCCCTTGTTCGGGCTAGTCTTCTTCTTTTTGCGATTGGCAATCATCTCACGAAATCGCCTACAGATGGCCGTCCTCAGCCGCCCTGACCGCGTGTGCCGCCGCCTCTCGGAAGTCGTCGTGGAACGCAAACTCGAGACCGGACTCCCTCAGCTGTGCGCAGTGCAAGTTGCGGTGCAGGGCAAGAAGATGAGGGGGAGACGGCAGAGACGACGACAGTCAGCGCGCTGGCGGAGCAGACAATCTACTCCTCGAGCAGCCCTGGCAACGCGCTCGCTCACAGTTTTGGCCGCATCCTCGCTTCCCGTGCCCTTCATTCGGACGACGATGGGCTTGCTGATGCCATTCTCCCGGACGGCGTCGACGATTCCCTGTGCCACGATGCTGTGCAGATCGGTTCGGCAAACGACAGCCAATCGTGCCCTCCTCATCGTCAGCTCCTGCTGCTCCTTGGCGCACGCGTGGACGGCAACTGCGGTGACGCCCAGTCATGCCGCCGCTGTTGCCGCTCAAACTCACTCGGTGCGCGTGATGCCGCCGAAGCAGTTTACAAAGATCGACTTGACCTCCGCCTGCCTGTTGAGGGTCTCGATGGCCAGCCTGGCATTCTGGCGGTTGGCGCCACCGCCCCCGTCGAGGAAGTTTGCAGGCCCGCCGCCGACGAGGTTGAGGCCGTCCATGGTCGCCATTGCGTTTCCCGCGCCGTAGCCGAAACAGCCGACCTTGCCGACTCGGGGCAACGTGGGCGGCAGGGGCAGGTAGAAGAGTCCGCCCTTTTCCGCCAGGCGCGTGTTGTCGTCGAGCGGTCGGGAGGCGTGGTAGGATTGCAAGAGGGGCTGGCGCGGCACGGAGAAGTCGTCGAATTCGAGGAACGGGTCGATGCTGCGTGGTCGCGGCAGGGTTGCGATGGCTATCAGAGAGGGGCAATCGCGATGGAGCTGAGCGCAATGGAAGCAGGAGACGACTCACACTTCGACCTTGCCATTGGTCTGGGCCAGCTTGAAGGTGAACCAGAGCCCTTCGTGCCGGTCAAAGAGCTGCCAGAACCCGCGCAGTGTCTTCGCCACCTCTTGGTTAGTGGCGCTGTCAATGCCGAGCGACGCGACGAAGCGATCTGCCTCGACCTGATCGAAGCTGTTCGTCGAGCTCGAGGGTATACTGATCTGCCGTACCTCGTCGGGCTTGTCTCTTCGCAGGGCCAGCAGCCCTAGCCCGCCCTGTCCGAGCTGTCCGCCTGCGCCATCGCGGCGGGAAGCAAGAGCGTGTGCCGGGGCAGCCGTGATGGACGGGCCAAAGAAGGATGCCTTCTGGACGGCGCCGGCATCGTGTGGCCAGGGTCGAGGGTCCCGGTCGGCCTGGATGAGCACGGCGAGAGATGCGTCGTTGTCGCGCGGACGGGATGTACCCCGGCTGATGAACACCGCGTCGAGCTCTTTGATGCCCGTCGCGGCGAGAAAGGAGGAAACGTCGGCTGGCTGGATGTGGAACCAGCGCCTGCCGACGGTTCGGATCGCTGCGACGAGCGGACGGAGACGGGCCGGGGCGCCGAGCAGCGACATGGTGTCGAATAAGCAAAGAGGAGCGCGGTGGATAGGTGGGCGATAGGCAATCGTGGGGTGTCGATGAGGGGACGAAAGAGAAGGGAGGGGGCAGCGAGCAGCAGGCAGCGGGCAAGCTCCAAAGCGCCAGAATGATGGCCACCGGCTGCCCCGTGCATCGCCGGCCAAAAGGCCGACTGGCGATCCGCTGCGGGCCAAAGACATACAGTGCGGGGTAAAAGCGCACCGACTTTTGCTATTGCCGAGCGCCGACGCCGGCGCCGCGCCATCGCTGTCGCCACGGCAGCCCGGAATGATGCGCCCGGAGGCGTGTTGGGTCGGGGGCTGGCGGAGGGGGCAACAGGGCAGGCCAGGGCAGGGCAAGCAAGGCAAGGCAAGGCAAGCAGGGGATGCAGGCAGATGCAACGTCGTGGCTTCACATCACCTCTTCCGTCGCCGGCCGGACCGTAGACGACGTCCATCGTCAACCACCTCGACCACCTCCCCGGCTACCCAACCACCGTCCCTCTGCTGCATAACTGGTGGACTTCAAGCCGTTCGATGACGTGGGTAACTCCACCATTACGGCCGCCCTCAATGATCCGGGCACGGGTCTCTGCCTCGCTGCAACGGCGCGCAGGTCCATCGCGGCGGCAAACGTTCAGCACCACGCCGCAACCTTCGTCGGCCGGATACGCTTCGACGCTGCGCAACCTCGCCGCCGGTCCGCACTCCAAGGTCATCGTCCAGGGGTTCACGGGCAAGGCCTCGACGGTGCACACAGCCATCTCAATGTCGATGGGCACCAACGTCGTCGGCGGGACCTCGCCGGGCAAGGGCGGACAGACGCACCTCGATCGGCCCGTCTTCAACTCGGTGCGCGAGGCCGTACAGGCATGCCAGCCGCACGCCTCTTCGGTCTTTGTCCCCCCCGCCCTGGCTGCCGGGGCGGTGCTCGAGGCCATCGAGGCTGAAGTGCCCTTGGTCGTCTGCGTCGCAGAAGGTCTGCCGGCAAAGGACCAGATGAAGGTGAGCATCGGGACGCACGCTGTCGGGTTCACCGCCGCCCTCTGCACCTCGCCGCCCTCACTCACCGGCCGTTCGGGTCTCGCTCGTCTTTCTGCCCGTGCAGATCATGTCGGCGCTCCACAGCCAGAGCAAGACGAGGCTGCTGGGCGCCAACTCGCCCGGATACTGCAATCCAAGGGGATGTCGCATGGGCATCTCGCCCATGATCACCGCCGCTCCAGGGCCAGTAGCCATCGCCTCGCGCTCCGGCACCGTCTCCTACGAGGCCAGCTGGGCCACAAAGCACCTCGGGCAGTCCTACATCCTCGGCCTCGGCGGCGACTTTTACCCGGGCACACGCACCGTCGAGGCGCTTGAGTTTTTCATGAACGACCAGGATACCAAAGGTGCGTCGTGGCTCGTGCCGGGATTCGACCGTCGTTGACTGCCAACCGCAGAAGAACGAATCGGCGCTGACAGACCCACCCCTACCCTGCCCCGTTTCTCGTACACCGACGACAGCCATCATCCTCTGCGGCGAAGTGGGCGGCTCGATGGAGGAAGAAGTGTACGAGCTCCTCTCGTCCTCGTCCTGCCCTTACCGCCTGTCGCCCTCGTCAACCTCGCCGCGGCGCGAGGGCGATGCGACGCCCTTCATCAAGCCCATCGTCGGCTTCATGTCCGGCCTCGCGGTGCCGCCGGGCCAGACTTTCGGCCATGCAGGTGCCATCTGGAGGGACGGCATCCACTCTGCCCAGCAGAAGCAGGACCTCTGGCGGCGCGCCGGCATCCGCATCGCAGAGGCCATCGCCGACGTGGGCAGGCTGGTCGAGGAGGAGCTGCAGCTGCAGAAGCGCATGCTGGCCGGCGGGAATAAGTGATTGGCGGGCATCCTAGCTCAGGAAGAGGCCCGAGGCAGGGTGGGACGACGGGGCGACGTTCCACCGGTGAGCGATTAGAGATGATTGATACGAGGGACGGCCGGTACTGATACAGCGAAGAGATGAAATGCGAATGCGTGCGCCGCAGAGCAGCCGCCGAGGGGGCCAGCTCGTTTCCGTGCAGGCGAGGGAAAGACGTGCGATGCCGTGACCTCGATTCAGAAGAACTTGTTGGCCATCCTCTTGAGCAGGTCGATGCAGTATGGAATGTAGCTGAGCGAGTAGAGCGTGAAGGCCACGCTGCGGTGCCGAGCGAGATGGGCAAAGAGAGGCAAGATGAAAGTCGGGTGTCAGCAGAGCTCGACATGACCGCAACACACCAGCCGGCAGCCGCACTCACTAGAGCACGACGACAAAGATGAGCGAGACGATCTGTCGAGGCGATGACGAGCAGGGGGAGCAGGCGCGCAGTCTCAGGATCGCGCATGGAGCTGGCACGCTCCAGCCCTCACATCACGCCCCTCTTCCCGCATACTCACCGCAGACCCGATCGCAAACGCCGATACCCAGACCATGATGAATGCGGCGATCATGGCTAACGTAAAGGCGATGCGGACCTTCGCAAACATCTGCCGGAACTGCTTCATGAACCCGAGGAGGAACCCCGTGCCCGTCAGCGAGACGACGACGCCGACCGAGTAGAGGATGGCGAACGACACCAGCGAGCCGGTGAAGAGGAAGACGGAGCCCAGGATCGACATGACGAAGCCGATGCCCAGGCTGCGAGGGGCGAGGGACGGAGGGGGGAGGTGGGGGGGGGAGGGGGGGGGGCGGTGGAGG